GATTCATTCTACTATGGGAAGCACATAATAGGGAAAAATGAGATTATTTCCTCTCTGTATTTGAGTGCTAAAATTTTGCATTTGCATGAATAGATGCTGGGTTTATAGCTTTAAGAAAACCAAATGTAATTTACACATATATTTTAGCCTAATAATACATTTATCAAAGTGTAAGATGGTAAATGACCATCTTTCTTTCTTTTTATTCAACTTTTCTTATTAGCAAAAGATTGATACAAAGTACTCCCCTTTGTAGAGAATTTATAAGGGATGATGGTCAGTACTTGCTGCAAAAATTCTGAGGTTTGCTACTGCTTGTTTGCATGCCAAAACGATCTAACCATCAAGGCTGAAGTCCTGCAGAAAGCTATGCTGCTTAAATTTCAATGAAACTGAAATTTAACAAAGCAGAATCATAGCGCTTACACACACACACACGTATTTCATCCTATACTGTATTTTTGATATTTTGGGTAGAAGCCATTCTTGAAAAAAGAATTTGTGAGATATGTCACATTTTAAAGTTAAAGATAAATTGATCAAGCTATATTTAATGGCACAGTATTACAGAGATCTTGGTGGGAATGGTGAAAAGTGGGGATTTTGCTTTCTCTTGGCATTATTAAGTTAAAAGGAATTTTGAGGAGCCTAAAAATAAAATTGAAGAATCACTCACCCTTCCATTATTTTTTCAAGGGGTGGGTAACTCAAGCAGCTTTCCTCAACCTACTGCCCACTAGAAGCTTTGAAATACAACTTCCATAATTCTTATTCATTGGCCAAGCCTGATGGAAGTTGTAATCCCAAACACCCAGTAAGCACTGTGTTGGAAAAGTCTGCACTAAATGATGACAAAGTCATTTCTTGGATTGAAGCCCAACTCATGTATGAATAGCCCAGTCCTGCTTCCTAGAACGCCACCAGGTAGCTGATTGCCAAGAAGCAAAAAGAAAACACAACCTCGCACTGCATTTCGGTTCATTCTGGTATGCTTGGAGTACCAAATCACCATCGCACAAGTACAATAGTCAAGGACATAAAATAGTCAAGAGCATAAATCCCTGGTAGGATTCTGCCCACTGTTACGTGAATGCTGGATAGCCTTTAATACCCCTTGCAAGGTTGGTTGTATTCTAACATTTGATCTCATTTAATGGTTTTACAAAGACAAAAGCAATGCAATTATTACCCATTATTATTACTTCAATTGTTACTTATTATTACTTGCAGCAGCATCTGCACCTACATTGACGATTTCTTTTAAACTGCCATACAGATTACAAGCGTGGGGCTTCCACAGCCAAATCACACCAGAAGTAAGTGCTGTCCACTAATCCTTATTTTACAGCACAGTCCTGTGCATGTTTACTCAGAAAACGGCTTTACTCGGAAACCTGATTTTGCTGAGTCTCACTGCCCAAGAAGTGTGCATAGTGGTGCCCTGTTACAGGGATGAGATGAGACACCTCTTCACTGCCACTATCACCACAAAGCAAGCTCTAAAACCTTGCTTTGTGATCTGTGGGCACATTTGCCAATTGGATCATCTTTCCTGGGCACTAGCATAAAATGGCTGTTACGGCATTCATAATGAAGAACAAGTAACCTGCCCAGAGATGAGCCTCATGCAGAGGTTGAGGTTCAGCTCCAGCACAGTATACAACAGCACCATCCACAGCACTGCTTCACAGCAATCTCAGCTGCCTGTGAGATTTGTTTTTCTTTTAAGTGAGAGGAATACCATGCCTTGGCAGGCATAAGGAAAGATATCTAGGGACATATTGGTGAAAATAAGCACTGTATTGCATACTTCTGCTGGAAAAGGAGCTCTAAGCTGTTCTCAGAATGTTTGGTAAGTTTGCTTTGATGCTTCAACTCTGCATTACAAGGGCTGAAAGACTCTGTCTAGTAAGAAGGAATTGAAAGGCAAGATCACATTAATCATCCAGGTCATTCCTGCATCCCTGCACAGCATGACCAGGGCATTGAGAGATGGTCTAGTCATGCAACGGAAAACACCCTGAAAGCTCTGTCTCGGGAATCTCTCTCAACCTACAAGCCTGCAAAAGTTTGGATTTTACTTTGTAGCCACGTATACATATTTATTGCTTCCCTTTGCCAGATGATGAAAGGATGGACCTGTGACCACTGGGAAGGTATTCCATGTGCACAGGACATGGGAGATTCTCCACCTCTACCCAAAGATGAAGCTATGCCCACAAGAGAGTAAACCACAAGAGGATTCTCCCATCACCACTCTCCTCTCAATGAATGTGGAAAGGTCCATGGTGGATCTTCCTCTGAGGTAAGTCCTGCACCATCAGAAGAATACAGAGAGAGAGGAAAGGCAGGGCAGGGCAAGAGAGCATGTGAATCCATCGCCTATGGCCCTTGCTCCTGTCCTTGCCCAGAGCAACACAGGCACTGTAGGCAAATTTGTCTGTCTGCAGAATACTGGAGGATGGAGATACTGAAAATGGCTTTGTTGTTCTTCCCACCGTGCCTAGCTCTTGCTGGCAAGGCTTGGCACAGATGGAGGGCTCTGAGATTGAAGTCCCCCACTATGGAGCATCAGTCCTGCAGGCTGTGCTCAAAACCTGAATGTATCTAATAGACTCATGCCATTGGAAGAGGCCTAGCAGGCCATCAGGTTCAACCACCTGCTGAATGCAGGACTCAAGTCACCCATCCAGATTTCAACCAGGTCTTAGCTTCCAAGATTAGGCAGGATGAGACATGTTTTGTTATAAGAGATGGAAGGAAGAAATCAAGACAGAGCTCAGACAAAGAGAACAACTTTAAAACCCCATTGTTTTCAGTTGGACAGATGCACATGTGGTTAAACATTTGAAATCAGAGGTACACAAATGTGTATAATCTGGCTGAATTTTGTCCACATGTATAGCAAAATACCCAGGGCAGGGGCTTATGTCAGTCAGATAATAGCAATGCAATCCTATACATGAAGTACCTTAAGTTCCACTAAGGAGATGGGACTTATTCAGAAGTTAGAGTGCATAGGGTTGTATTCTAAGTTGCTTAATCACACAGCACCTTTTTAAAATTTGCAGATACTTCTCCTGACTTCATATGTCTTTTCCTTTCCCTTAATTGTAGCCACAAAATCTGATACTGTGGAAAAAGTTGGTTTAAGTGTCCTGCAGGTCTCTTCACAAAATAACCCCAAGTGACACACAAATCAAGTTTACAGCCTTTATAATCTGAGCAGCCTGCTTGTTTTTGAGGTGTTCCGCAAATATTCCTCATTCTTCATTGTTACATCTCACATATGGAAACCTCTGAAGCTGCTGGCAATACAGTTTTAAAGTGCGCTTCACATATACAAATTCTTATTCCTGAAGTGAAGTTTGTATTTATTTCTTAAAATAGCTGTTGGGAATTTAACATTCATTTCATTGTTTACAGAGTGGTTTCACAATGACTAATAGTTAAATGTGAAAAGTGAAGGTTAAAAAAAAGTGGAAAAAATAATTTTTTAAAAACCCCATCCAACAAAGTGCATCACATTTTTCTCACAATAACATAAAAATGTGCATCCTACAGTTCTTTTCTTTTTACTATTCCCTTTCCTAATCAACCTCATTTACCCAGAGCTTTTATTCAGATTAACAGCTTCCTCAGATCAATTTCAGTGTAATCAAAAGTAGAACCATAGGAGAAGTTTTGGTTTTTCTTCCTAGTCCATTCAAATAGGGATGTGTGTGTGTGAGAGAGAGAGTGTGTGTGATGGAATTGTAACAGAAGTGCTTTGGGAAGACTATTTTTTAAAAGCATGCTTCTGCTTTGAATTGCAATGGACAACTTTTGTGTTACGTTTTCCCACAGGCAAGGACATTATGTAAAACTGGAAGACGGAGGGCTCAGGTTGTATTTGTCTGTGCCTAAAGATAATGAAAGCAGACTTTCATTTTTGAATTAATGACTTCAAGCGCTAGACTGATGTTTTCTCAAAGAAACAGGAAGCTTGTTTTGGTCTTTATATGAAACTAAGGAGCTGGGAAATTCTAATACACAAACACCTCGAAATTAATAGGTATGATCAGAAACATGTGGGGGTGACCATGATCTCTAGCATAAAATGACTTAAAGTTACCTCACAGAGAAGTGCAGGAAGATGAAGTGAAATGCATGTGGTTGTCTTCTAGTATAATTAGCTGCATCATAAGCTAATTATAAGCTAAATAACAGGCAATTGTTATTTAGATGCATGACCCCACTTTTCATATTTCAAGCGGCTTAGTGTGAATTTCAGCTATTACTGGGTACAAGGAAAATTTTCTACTTATTCCTGCTTCCTGGCTGTTTAATGACATTTTAATGTTTTGCATTATTTATTTCCATTCTCAGCATTTAGGTCACTAGCTTTCATTTCTAGGTTCACATTCACTGAAGAATTAATCGTATTTAACCTCAGTAGTCATGCAGTAAGTGATACAGGTCATGTACAGAGCCAATACAAGTTATAGCATAATAACAATCATTTCATGAGTGGATCAAACCTTTTTCCTAAAGAACAAGTTTTGGCTTCTTCTTGTTAGCATGCGATTAGTGTCCACTTTTTTTTTTCATACAACATACTGAATAAGAGTTAAAAGTGCAATTGAACTGCATAAGAGCATCACACCACACAAAGTCAATCCTCTTTAAATTAACATTATTGAAATCTGGTGGATGAGAAAGGATAAACTCAAAATGCAGTTTCCCTGCATTAATCTGCCTTCAACTAAATTAAAAGAAATACTTCAATCAGTTATTTTTCTAGTCTACAGGATAGCACAGCATTGCAGGTACATATATTTATTTTAAAAATACATTCATTGTACAGTCAAAATATAGTCAAGGTACTTGCTTTCAGGAAAAGTTTGTTGCAACTTTTCGGTATTCCGGTCTGGATTTGAGCACTCAGAGCTAACTAATCAAAATACTTGAATGGTACAATTTACCCTTGGACCCCAGATAGAACCCAAAGAAATCCAAGCTTATGGGATCTGATTTTTATCTCTCAGGTAGCCAAAGAGTGCATCCAATCCTCCTTCTATGATCTGTGGCAGTGGTTTGGTCAAAGGATTGTGTGCAATATGGAGCCCCTTATCCAGTGGATTCCAAGCAATTTTTGTCAATCGATGTAGCAAATAGAGCTCCTCTGGGAGAGTCTGGAGAGAATTATAATCAACATTTAGCAGTTCAAGGGCACTGACTGTGCAGATAGACCTTGGCAAGGTGCGAAGGTTGTTGTAGTCAGCAATGAAGATTTGCAAGTTGACTAGAAATTGGATACTCTCGCCAATGTTTTCAAGTCTGTTGCAGCCAACATGTAAAAAATCTAAATTCCTCAATGCAAAAACACTTAGAGGAATGTATACGAATCGATTATTGCTGAGATTCAGCTTTCTTAGATTGATCAGCTCTGTGATGCTTGAAGGAAGATGGGAAATATAGTTGTGGGAAAGACTCAAAACCTCCAGCTTCTTGCAGTGTCCAATTTCTGTTGGTACTTCAGTCAAGCAGTTCATATTGACAAATAAAACCTTCAGGTTCCTGAGTAGCCCAATTTCTTTAGGAAGAGACTTCATATGATTCCCACACAGGTTCAGCACCACCAGTCTGTCGAGTTTCCCCAAAGCTGGAGGAAGAACCACCAGTTGATTGTGGGAAAGGTTCAGCTTCTGGACCTGTGGCAAGCCCCATAAAAAGTCAGGAGCCCTTGTCATCCCTTTCATGATGAGACTCAAACTGACATATTGTAGTCCACGCTTTAAGAGTGTTCTTGGGTCTTTCCCAGCAAGAAGAGCTTCTTCCCACAGAGGTAACTTCTGACTTCTCTTCAGAAGCATCATGCTTTTCTTCTCTTGGCCCTTTGAATTCTTTCCACCCATAGAACCTCCAGTTTCGCTGCTCCTGCTGACCAATGTTTTGTATCGTTGCCTTCTACAGCTAACACCTGGCAACAGAGCTCAGCTTTCAGAAGATTCATAAAACAAGGTCAAGCCAAGATGATGTGCAAAGACTTTGAAGAGCACCTTTCCTCCTAAAGAGCCTCTGCAGCTGCCGAAATGAGTTTCACTTTTCCGGGATGGAGCTTCAAGATGCTTTCCTTGGTGCTATAAGCTGTAATGCCACACTTGCCACTGACACTTCTGAGCAAACCTGCTCCATTCAAGCTGAATACCACACGGCAGCTGTCACTGTCATTTTGTCCGGGGCTTTATTGGATAGATACGCATCCTCATTGCAAAGAGGTCACCGCAATGCTGTATATAACTTTACCATGTCAGCTTTCTTGGATATCTAGTGCATGAGGTAGCAGCAGCAGGACAATTAGGAAGAGTAACTATAAAAAACACGATGAGAGGATGACCTCCCCCCTCCGGTCTTCCAGTAATGTTTATTCAGCTGAGGAACAACTTGCATATTAACTTCAGCGTTAAAGGCTCCCATTTTTAAAGAGCTTCCATTCATCACATGAACTTTATTTTATGTTTCTGTTAAAAATGAGAAACACTGCAAATTTTCATCCAAGAATGGTTAACAGGTTCTGAGAAAATATGTAACTCGTTGTGTTACCCAAGGAACTTCTTTTAAAGCAAAGCAATAAAACCCCTGGAGAGTCACAACAAATGATACAAATCATTATTCTTCATTGTGAGATGGGGAGGCCCTTTCAGACTCTTGGAGTCAGACAGAACAGCAGTAATTTCTGGACTCTGACACCGTTTCCTTTCCTTTGGTTTGGACTGTGGTGTTTTGAGCATGGAGGCAGTGAAAGGGACACTAAGAATTAATCAAGCAAATAAAATTTGATTCTAGTTGTTAAGTTTAAAACCACTGCGTGTTCTTTAAATTGAAAGCACCAGGAATTGATACTCATTCTTCATCAAAATCTGAAAAGCAGAGCCACAAATAATTTGACCTGAAGAGAAGGGGTTCGGCAAGCTGCATCTCAAGCCTATTACAATAATGAATGCAAACAACAGGCAAGGAGCTAATTCAATCAAAGCTCTTTCAGAGGCTTAATCCCAGATTCATGATTGTCATACCAATTTGACGAACAGAAAAACAAACAGAAAACAAAGAACAAAAATTAAAAACTTCTATCAATACATTTTAAAACAGAATCCGCTTGATAGTTCTTAAAACATGCATTTCTTACTCTTTTCTGGATTAATCCAAGACTCTGTCATATGAAAGGGAAGGCATGTTATTTTTATCTTGAAGAGAAAGTACTGGCAGTTCATCATTTGATATTTAAGCCATTGGGAGTCTCGATCTAAAGAGAACACATTGACTTCAGGAGGATGGAATGAATAAAAACTACAGTGCTTAATTGTGGCAACGTACTACTTGTTTGCAAGAAGTCCCACTTCTCAAGATCTAATTTTCCACTTGAAAATGTCCTATTCCCTTTTCAGATGCTATCCAGTGCAACACTCTGCTCTGCAGATGTGTTTTAAAGTTTCTTTTTGTTAGAAGTTGCCAGCATATGCACTAACTCATAACTAATATGGAAAAGTAAAAACAACTGAAGAGCAATTGGATGGTCTCTGATCCATTTCTGTTGTGTCTTTTCCTGAGACTGATCCAGTTGGTAGTTCATTTTTAAATGAGAACTGTAGCAAAATGACACCCAGCAAGTGGAAAAAAACCCTTGGGTTTTAAATATTGCATTTCCAGCTCAAGCAGGTCATTTGAAACCACATTTTAATGAGCAGTTCAGACAGCTTTGTATATTAATTTCAGCAACCCACGTTCCCTACTCTGCATTACTCCCACCATCTTATGCAAAAAGCATCCAATGGCACGGCATGCGGGGGAAGGCTATAATAGCTAAGAAGCTAGTGCTGTGTGTTCTGACTCACTTCTTTTTGCTCTGTATTCAATGCTGGCAGTCATTCTTCCTGGCACTGGACTACACTGAACTGTGGTGCTGCCTGCATCATTTTTTTTTTTTTTTTTGGCTTCATTAGTTTTCCTTTGGCTACTGACATTTTGATACGACATCCACATGGCCACAAGGTACAGTAGGAGACAGATCACTGTCTTGATTTAGTATCTTACTGTGGGCCTCTCAGCATGAGGGGTTTAAGCTGCTGTTTTACTGAGGTTTTTTCTTCTTTCATTGCAGAAAGAAGTGTGCTCATCACATAGGGGTCGCCCCCTCCCCAGAGATTTGTATCTGTCTTTCCAAATATTCTATTAACTAACCACAAAGTGATTCTAGAAAACACAGGAGAGGCTCTGAAGGTTGATGTTACAACCATTCCTCCCACCAACGTCTCTGAGTGAAGCATCATGGGAACACAATAAATGTTTTGTGTAGAGAAGCCCTTAGTTGTATCCAATACTTTCATTCAGAATGAACTGAATGTTGTTGTTCATAAAGAAGATAAAGCAAGAATTGTATTGTACACATACATTTTGTGCGCATACATGCTCACTGCTTGGAACCAACATTGTCATGCTATGAATGGAAGAAGATTCCATACATGGAAAGGCGTCCATGCTTGAGTGTAACTTTCCTTCCATGACTGAAGTTTCTTTGGTACCTGAAGTTAGATCCAAGTCATTACACGAAATATTATTATATAGGCTATGAATCTTCCAAACCTGGTGCCTTCTAAATTTGCTAGACCACAGCTTCCATGAGACATACTGGGACATACTTGTAGTTGTAATGCAACACATCACCATGGCTGATATATACTAAGCCATACTCCCCACCACACACACACACTTCATAGTGTGTGTAATATTTCTCACATCTTGTGGACCAAATTTTCCTTATGGAGTCTACCAGAATCTAACTTCCTGATCATCATATTCCTGACGTTCTACAGTATTTGGGAAATAGTTAAGTTTTCTTTCTGTATTGGCCATAGGCCAGGATTGGAAAGTACTGTACAGCCTGAGGCACAGACTTGTAGATAAATATTTGGGCTGCATGCAGAAAAGTGCACGGGGTCAAGGAGGTCAAGAAGTTGGAACCTCACATACACTTTTCCTGTCTTGCTCAAACATATGCAACCCATTTGTATATGTGGCACAGCTCCATTGCCATGCTCACTTTTTACCAAACCAGAACATTTCAGTTGATCAGACTGAATTAGATTGGAAAGAGGCCAAGCTTTCTTCTAAAGACAGTAAACTCAATAAATAAAATTATCGCTGGGACCAGACTGGTCCTCCTAACCTGAAATATAGCAGGCTGAGGCAGGAGGCTACCCAGGCCCTCTCAAGAAAATGTAATGTAGTACATACAGTCCTCTAATCATTCATACTTCTAAATGCAGCACTACCACAGGCCAGTATTATGTGGAGAGAAACATGCACAGTGCTTCAAGTTTCTTCTTCTATCGTCTCCTCCTCCCAGCTTTGTGGGGGGGGGGGGGCGCTGGGATCCTTATCCTTTGTGGAGGAGGGACAATGGTCAGGGGTCTTTTTAGTTGAGTTTCTTTGCTTAACTGACATCATCCATCCAGTTCCTGGGAATTTACTGTTCTTTACAAAATACACCAGTCACTGATGCTTCTGAAGGACTTCCTAGGCTTCCACAAAAGTTCTTTCTTACAACTGCAACTTCTTCTGCCCCTCACTGTCACCCTTCATCTCGCATCTGTTTACTTCATGATTTGGTTGCTAGTCTTCCCACAAATGACCACCCCCCTCCCCCTCCCCCTCCCCCTCCCCTGCAAAAGAAACCCTGCATACGAGCATCTGTGATGAGGAATGCTGCACCAAAGCATTCAGCTTGCAAGTCTGGGATCCAGGACAGTTTAACAGGTGTTTGGCTAAAGAAACAGAGTCAAAGGAGTCTAGGTGTTTGCTAGACCAGAGCTACTCATATCTCAGGAGCCCTAAAGACAACATATTTATTATTCAGGGAAATATAAAGTAGTAGCCAGAACAGCAAATCTGGCCTGTGACGCCATTCACAAAAACTCGTACAAGCACACACATCCATACTCGCATATACACATGCATCACATCCATTCACTCGCAGAAAGATCCCCCTACACTTCAAGCACAATTTTAGCAAGCATAACTGTGTGTGGGGGGAAGGGGAGAGTCAGAGTCTGTGTGGGGCAGGATGAATTACGGCACACTGCAAAACTTGGCTCAAAACTCCATTGCCCAGCTGTGACTACTCACCCAACACGTATACAGTTATGCCTTAGAAATGTCTCCCATTAATGTAAATGGAAAACTTTTTTTCCAGCTTAATTTCTTTGGGAGGGGTAAAACGGGGTTGGCCTCAACTACTTGGGAGGCGGCTTGTGTTACATTAAGTGTGCAGCTGGAGGTTTCTCATCCTGCATAGCATGTTCCTGACAGTTTAAGATCTCTGGTAATTTTTCACCTGTGCAACGTATTTTCTAGCAAGTGTAGTTGCTTAAGTAATTGGTCTAAATCTTAAAGAGTCTAAGAATTGCTACCTATTGGTTTAACATTGTGATCCAACATTGCCACCTAGTGGATATGAGAAACTATTTCAGCCTTGGGGAAACGACCCCTTTTTCAAGATGAATATTCTTAAAGAAAATTCTTGAAGTTCTTTGGAAAGAACTGAGAGTTGATCAGATAAAGGAAAGGGTTAGAATATATCATCATCATCACTGCAGCACAGCAAGCTATGTAACACAATCATGCTACAGGTCTACAAGTTGCAATGATAAGAAAATAAATCTAAGTTGTGGCTTAATATTAAAGAAAGTGTTAATGGATACAGTGTGACCCTAATCATGTTTACTCAACAGTAAGTTCAGTAGCTCCTGCTGTCAGTGACTAAGTTCCTCACCAGTGTTTCCTTATTGTACTTAGCTGTCATAAATAGCTGTGCTATCCATCTGGTTAAAGGACAAAATGTATATATTAAGCAGAC